CTATGAGGTTTCAATAGCTAGGTCCAGGCCTCCTTATTTCCAGCCTGGTCCTTCAGCCATTAATCCCAAAAAACTGCCCCAGGAAACAGGGGAGAGAGTGAGGGAGCTGTACAGACAGACAGCAGTTTCCCCAGCCCTTGCCACGGATGATTTTCTCCTCATCCTTGAAATGGAGCCCTCCCCCCTCCCCCCTGCTCCTCTTTAATTTCTCCATGGATTTTCATTAAACCCTCCCCTTGGCTCCAGCACAGGGTGAACTCCTTATGTGAAAAAATAAAATGAGAGGGAGGGGAATGGGAAGAAAAGGAATCTGGGTTGGAAGCAAGATTGTCTCTGGACCCAAGGCTGGAAGAGGCAATGACTAGGACTCTCTCAGAGGTTTCTGAGGCTGCCTAACACAGGGCTTTGAGATCCTCCCCTATCCCTCCTGGCCCGAGGCCTGTAGGGTCCTGCCCTTCCCACCTGGACTGGAGCCCCCAGTCGAGCCCTAATCCGCTCTCTCCTCCAATCCCATCCTGGCCCCTGGCACCGTCCAATCCCAACCTCAGCTTCCTCATCTGTAAAAGGGTCAGGTTGCGAGGACTCACGCTCCTGCCCCACCTGAGAGAGAGCTGGGCAGCGTCTTCCACCATGCTAGCCCTCCCTGCTGGCATGCCGCAATGCTCCCTTCTCCACCAGACTGTAATCTCCCCAAAGCCTCCCAGTGACTTTCAAAACTCCAGCGATTAGCATCGTACGTGCAGCAATCATGTCAGCTTCCATTTATTCGGTGCCTACTGTGTGCCAGACACCATGTTACTGCACATCTATCCTTCTCTGACAGCCCTGGGAGGTAGATGTCATCATGCCCATTGACTGATAAAGAAATCACACCTCTGGGAAATGAAGTAACTTGCCCAGGGTAATGTGTCCAAACACATAGGTGGAAAAGTCTGGTTTCCAACCCAGGAGAGCCTGGCTGGCTCTGCAAAACCATGGTTCCCCCACTGTGCCAGGCTGCTTCACAACAAACGTGTGACGAAAGAATGAATTAGTAGCGTGATGGACCGGGTGATTACATGGTGATGGGCTGGGTGAGTGAGCAAGTAAGTGAGTGAGTTAAAAGTGACTGACCAGATGACAGAAGGAATGAAGACGCAGATGAATAAGTGACTTGATGGGAGTGAATGAAATCATGACTGAATCTCTGACCACACAAATGCCCCAAATCCAACAGAGCTCAGGCATCAGGCAGCCGGGCTGGAGATGGATGGGGGTGTCTGGTGACCTGACTAGACCCACAGCACCACTCCTGGGGTCTCTGTTTGATTTAATGAACCTTTTCAAGGTCGGGGGGGAAGTGGGAGGGAGCAGCGCGACAGAGATGAATTTCACCAAATCCAGCGCAATTTCTCACTGCCAATTAATGAAGCGAGCTTCAGCGAGGAGGCCAGGCCATAAATCAGGGGGAGGCTGGGACTTTGACATTATCCAATTAGGGCAGGAACTGTGCCTGGTGAGTGGGCAGCTAGGAGATCCCCTGGGCTGCACTCCCCCACGCTGCCTACACCACACCTGTCCTACTGCAGTTTCTACCATCCAGCCTGTCCCGGGACTTCACTTTCCACCCAAACACTGACAGTAGCAGACCTCAGCAGAGTATCTGAGGCTATTGCTCGGCAGCCCAGGTCACAGAGGGGGACAGCTGTGTCCAGGGCCATGGGGTGGGCAGAGACAGAGGGCAGGGGGACACCCAGGCCCTTCCTGGGTGTCTCTAGAACCTCTCACAGCTTTGGAAGCAGTGTAATGTGGAGGAAAAGAGGGCGACCTCACAGTATCGGACTTAGTCCTGGGTCCACATAAAGGTGCATAGCCCAGGCTGGCTCTGTCTCAGCAGAGCTGGAATGAAGTTACTGCGAGGCCATTTATTAGCTGTGTGTTCTTGAGCAAGTTGCTTCAGTTCTCTGAGTCTCCCTTCCTTCTAGAAAGAGTGGGGATGATAACAGCACCAATGGATCAACAGTTAACACAATGAAACGTGGGGCTTAGCAAAGTGCTTGCCCAAAACCAGCATTTGATATGTTAGTTATCGTCCTTTTCATCACTGTCATCCTAACCTGATTACCTGATAGAACAGGGGCCAACAAACACTTCCTGTAGAGAGCCAGATAGTAAATATTTCTGACTTTGCAGGCTACATGGTCTTTTGCAATTACTCAATTCTGTTGTAGTGTGAAAGCAGACATAGGCAATATCTAAACAAATGGGTATGATTGTATTCCAGTAAAACTTTATGGATCAAAAATTTAAATTTCTCATAATTTTCATGTGACACAAATGTTATTCTTCTTCTGATTTTTTTTAATCATTTAAACATTAAAAAAAGAATTCTTAGTTCATGGACCATATATACCAAAACAAGCAGCAGGCTGACTTTGGCCGACAGGCCATCACTTGCCACCCCCTGCACTAGAATGCTCCATGAGGACAAGGGGTTTTGCCTGCTTTGTTTACTGCTATACTCCCAGCACCTAAAAAACAGTGCCAGGAAAATAGCAGATAGTCAATAAGTGTTTGCTGAATGAATGAATTACAAGCCGTGTGATTCTGTGCAACAAGTCATTTCACCTCTCTAGGCCTTAGTTTCTTTAGAATGCACACTCAGGATACTTGCACATTAGAGGCAAGCATCAAATGAAATGAGACTATGAAGCCACTTTGCAAGCGGTGTGTGATGTGCAATGTAGTTGCTGTTTCTGACCACAAGGGGGCTCTTCTCAGGCAACTCTCACTCCCACTCCGGGACACTCCTGAAACATCTCTGTGCCAGGCATGAGAGTTGTCTGTGTATGGAAAGAAATCTGACCTGGTGAGCGGAATGCCCAGGTGGGGCTACCTTCTCCGGTGCCAGCTGGGGCTAGGGATTAGCACACTGATCATTATAGCAAGGTGGCCAAGCTTTAGTTACAGGGTCTTTTTCAGTGTTTTCTGAAAGTATCAAACCAGCAAGGCAGCAAGATAAAACGGGCATTAGACTCAGGCCGACCGGGTTCAAATTCTGGCTCCAAAACTTACTTCGTGATTTTAGGCAAATCACTTAAACTGGCTGAGCCTCTGTTTCCTTGTCTTTAAGATGAAGATATGAATAGTGTTCACCTCACAGGGTTCTGGTGACTTAATGAAGGGATGTGTGTATGCGGGGGAGGGAGCTAGTAAGCCCTCAGACGGGGAGCGTTCCCTTTGCCCTGTTGCTCTGCAGGGCAGGGTCTGACTCTCAGGCCAGGTGGCCCATCTGGCCTGGTAAAGAGATATTCTGGCTTTGGGGCAGCATCAGAAAAATAGAACAACAAAAATTGCCTCCAGCCTCCCTGTACAGGTTTTCAGCTCTAAACGAAAGAGCCCTGCTGTTTTTCTTCTCCGGGCTGAAAATTTCCTGCTGCTCTGCAAACTCTCTATAGCCAAGAAATCCACTGCTTTGGGAGGGATGGTGACTCTAGTCCCTTCTATTTTCTCCTGTCATTCTGCCTGTCAACCAGCATGAAAGAAGATGAGAAACAAACCCCGTCTGGCCATTTTTCCACTGTCCAAGGAAAAAGATTTTATTAAAAAAAGAAGAAGAAAGAAAGAAAAGAAAGGACTATTCAGCACATGCAGCTGGAGATGCTCATTGCGTTTACTTCATGGAGACTGTCTGTCTGTCTATCTCACCATGGCCCCCCGCCCCATTTTGCCATCTGAGTGAGCACACACATCCAGAGGCTTCTGACCCTGTGAGAAGGGGGCAGTCTAGGCAGACAGCTGACACTTGCTCCTCCATCACTTTGCTGTGTGACCTCAGACAAATTACTTTGCCACTCTGAGCCGTAGCATTCTCATCTGTAAAATGAGCAGATTCCTCCATCCTCAGCGTAAGAGCATCTCTGAGCCCATGACCCTGTGACCCTGTCCAGTAACCTGAGTAGATTTGGAAAGAAGCAGTGTGGGAAGTAAGATGACCATCTGTCCAGGAGTCCAGACAAACATGAACAAGTGGGGTCGGGTGCAGGTTTTCTGGGCAGCCAGGACCAGATTATGGGACACTCTACAGAGGAAGGGGAGCAGTTTGTTTGCCCCATCCCCATTTAGACCAGTCACAGGAACAGGCTCAAGGTCCCTACCCCCCCAACCCTGCAAGTACCACGATGGTCACCAGGACATACCAGGCTTTTCTACCCCTCTTCCATAAAAATTTTCAGCATCTTTCCTTGAGACTTGCCTCAAATGTCGGCTCTAGCCTCCCCACCCCTCCTGCTAAAGTCCCTGAGGACCCACCAGCAGGCTCAGGTCCTGGTGGGGGAGCAGCCTCAGCCCTACAGCCTGCGGTGAGTGAGGGGGGGCAAGAGCTGGAAGTAGCCACATTGCCCTGAGTTGGCCTGGAGTTGAGGCACCTGGACCTATCAGATCACGACCTTCCCTCTAACTCCTCTTACCCTTGGCCTTGCTGACCCAGCCTATGCTTGGACCTAGGCTTCCCTTCCCCTTTCCCAAGCTCTCTAGTCTCTAGTCTCAGTGGAGCCCCACCTGCTTGCCAAGGCACCTAGAACCACCTTGCTCTTGCCATTCTGTCCCCTGAGGAGCTGGATCCTCCACCTTCTGCTGGCATCCTGCCATGAGCGGAGAACCAACTGCCCTGAAGCTTCACACACACACACACACACACACACACACACACACACACACGCCGACTTCCTGCCTCCTGCTCTGTTCCGCCCACTCTTGCTCGTGCCACCCAGGAAGTGCTGAGTGCCCCTGTGGGCCCTGCCCCTCCTGGCTGAGCTCCTCCAGCCCTGTCCCCTTCACATCTTCATCGACTCCCAGTCAGGATCCCAGTAGCCCCATCTGAATGATGCCCAGGAAAAGGTGGGACTTGATGGACTTGCTCCAAGAAGAGGCCCCGATAGCCACCAGGAGGCCTTTTCCCCCACCTGCCCACCTGGCTCGGAGACCTCGGGCCCCGCCCAGCCAGCCAGCGGCTCTCTTACCTTCTCCAGCTGATGGACACCCTCCTCCACACAGCAGATGGAGGCCAGTGTGCGGAGCGCCTGCGGGTACAAACACCGGAAACTGTCCTGCCGGCAGACCTTGAAGAGTGCTACGACCCCACCCTCCTGCCAAGAAAAAGAAAATGTCACATGACCTCACTGTGTGTGTGTGTGTGTGTGTGTGACCTTTCCTTATGGCTGATTCAAAAATAATTGATATCCCCCACTCAGCAGGTATGCTGTTTGGTCTGTAGGATGGCAGAATATGGCAGCCTAAAATATGTCACTTTAGCATAAGGATTATTTTGAACTGGAGGCAATTGAGAAGAAACAGATACAAGACACGATCTCCGCAGTCCTCCTATTTGCCCAAAAGCAGAACATCAATTTACAAAGTTATGCGCCCTCTCTTTTCTGCTACAAAGGACAAAATTCAATCACCAGAGGCAGCTTTAGACCCTTACCAACTTCAAGATGGCATCAAAGGAGATCGACATAACAAACTTAATTACCAGCCTTTACCTACTATTTGTTGCCCATATATTTGCCTTACTACATACGATTTGCTGCCCCAAAGACTCAAGGTTCTTTTCCTCTGTCTTGTTCCTTCACTAAAAATATAGTAATCTCCTACTAAGATTCTATATAAGCCCAAGTTCTAACCAACTCTGAGGTACTCATCTCTGAGTGCTCCCATGCGTAAGTGCAGCACACATGCTAATAAACTTCTGTTTGCTTTTCTCTTGTGAATCTGTCTTTTGTCAGCCCAATTTTCAGGGCACCTATCAGAGCATCTAGGAAGATAACAGAAAAAAAGGATTTTTCCTCCCCTACAGTTCCTACATACAAACTACACACACACACACACACACACACACACACACACACACACACACACACACACAAAGGAGTTTTATTTATATCGATACTACAATTTATTCCCATTTTGTAATGGAAAAAACTGAAGTCCAGATGGGTGAAATAATTCACCGCAGTCAAAGTTGTCCTTGTTTTCACTCCTCTACTGCAGTTAGCAAAACAAACAAACAAAACAAAACAAAACTTGTAGGCACTTCCCATGAGCAGTCTGCGAGGACTTCTGGGAAGAATCTGGGAGTGAGGCGCTCATTCTAACTGGTCATATTAGTTCTATAAAAAAAATCGCTGGAGCCACGTTGGCTCTCCGAGCAAAGTGAGAGAGCCAACAGATCACAAAGGTGACTCAACACCCAGAACACCAGTGGCCCCACCACCGCGGGCATCCAGAGCAGAAGTGGCACGCCCCGCACTGGGCTCTGCCCCTTTCCTCCCCCTCCCTTCCCTGAGGGCTGGATGGGGTGGCAGCTGGAAAGAACGTGTGACTAAGGGATCTGAACTCCGTCCTGAGGGATGCTCACCTTTGACCTCCTGCTTCTAACTGAGCTGGTTGCAATCTGTTCCCCAAACTGAGAAAATGTTACAATAAGAAGGTGAGTTCTGACCACCTCCTGTCAGATTTTTGAGAACTCTTTCAACAAAAAAATACAGAGGATGCCAAATATATATATATTTTTTTTTAAGAAAGAAAAACTGTATTAAAATTGTAATACTCACTATATACTGATAACAAAAAATGAATACAAGTCACATTTGACGTCTGCAATTACAAGAGGTGCTCAAAGTGGTTACCATCAGCATCCAGACACTTCTGATTAAGGCGAACTACTGCTTCAGCAACGTGACCAAAGTGTCCACTCGTATACAATTTTTTGGCACCCCATATGCTGAGCACCTACTACACACCAGGTGCTGTTTCGTGCTTTGGGGGTGCAGCTGTGAGTGATTGAAGAGATAATGAATAAACACCTGGAAGAGGAAGTCATAACCACTATGGCCCAGCACAGTTAAGACATCCCAGATGGCCCCTTCTCTGGCGCTCCACAAAGAGAGGATCAGGGGCCCATTTCATCCTTAGAGTTGTATTGTTTATCACTGCAGGGAGGGACTCAGATGAAAGGGCCCAATTCTGGGAAAGTTCATAATTTCCTAAATTTTACCATCACCTAAGAGTGACCCTTCACTAGTATATCCCTGCTCCATGATGGGGTAGTTCACTGGGTAGGAAAGGGGCCTCTCTTAGGGCTGGTAAATTCAGTCACGCAGCCAAAACATACTGTTGGTTTTTCATGTGCCAGATGCTATGCTGGGCACTGAGCAACACGGCCTCAGTCGCTGTCTTATGCTGAACGCATAGACAGGCAGCGAGTCATGGGAAGGCAGGCAATTTAAAAGCAGGAAGAAATCTGGGTAAAGGTGCAGCGAAATGGAGGAGGGGTGCAGGGTTAGAGGGGTACAGAGTAGGCACTCCTAGCATAATCCAAGGGAGGGTTGTAGATGCACGAAAGGGAAGCACTCTGATTGTAAATGTACATCATCACTCTGATAAAAACATGCTCTGGATGGGATAAGGTACTTACTCCCTCTGATTCCTGGCTCCACAGTCCTTCACCCCTGCCTTCCTACTTTCCCACAGTTCCTGGGACATCTAATGAGGGTTCCACATAACGGCCTTACTCAGAGAGGAAGTAAAATCACACGTCTCTTTAAAGTAAGAAGAAAAGAAGCAAGACTCTCCCCAGCTAGCCCAGCTGGTCATTAATGACTTCCCTCCAGATGTAAATATATATGCTTTTATATATGCATTCATATTTATATATGTCTCTATTTATATTTAATCATATATATTGCATAAATCTTATTTAGATATGTACAATGATAGATTGATAGATATCATAGATAAAAGATAGCTATCATAGATAAATGGTAGAAAAGTACATAGATAGATAGATAGATAGATAGATAGATAGATAGATAGAGTTTATATCTAGAAGTGACAATGAAGAAATGGTGCCAAAGAATGCACGCCAAAAGCCAGGATCAATGTGGCAGCCTTCCTTTGGCTCAGGAAGCACTGAACCCAGCATAACTATATTTAAGCCTCTGCACCCATTTGCATTGGATTCTCGTTACATCCTTTCCCAAACCTGTGAAAAATGGCCTTCTTAGCATTTTTAGTTACTGGGAGAGTAAAGTAGGGGCAGTGGGGGGAAAGGAGGGAATTCCTAACCCAAACTGAGGGGATCCTGGTTCAAATCCTGGCTCTGCTGCTGGTTAACATTGGCTAAAAATGGGGTCATGACAGTTACATGACCGAGCCTTTGGGGGAGTAATTGAGTTCATGTATATGAAAGGCTTAGCCCCCAGTACTGGACAGCCCGGTGAGCATCAGGCTATGGAAGGCTTCCTGGTTAGAAGAGTGTCTCATACCCTCATGAAATGTGTCTCGTGGGTTGGAATATGCGAGAGGGAGAGGAGGAAGGAGGCAGTGAGGAAGTGAGATGGATTAGCGGCATGGACTCCCCGGAAGCCCCCGTCGAGGACCCAAGGGCAGCACTTATCTTAGCGTAGAGCCAAGAATCGCCTGAGCTAGCAGAATCACACTGTTGGTTGGAGCTTGTTTAATTTTATAGAAAGCTCCAGGCTCAGAGCCCAACTGTATATGGTATGCATTATTCAGACAGACTTAGGATAAGCTGTCATAAAGCTGGAGTACGCCTCTGTGGGGTGTGTGGGCCAGTGGTGGGGGGAATTACAGAGTAACTGGAGTGTGGGGTCATTTCCTCAAAGCACCAGGGCGTTTTCTGCGCTTTGCACTCAGGAAGGGTTGGGGTTTGCTACCATCACCATACATAGGGAAGACTGGGTTTACTCCTTGGCCTGCAGAAGAACCAAAAGGGCTGAGATGACAGACCTCAGACAGGTTGTCAAATCGTCTCATGGAGGCAGCTCAGATGGATGGAAGACCCAAAGACAGACCACACTGGGCCCCAAAGAGGTGCATGGGAAAGAACATTGGGGGAACTGCCCACATCGGCCACAATGTTGGGCACATTTCCTGAGTACCAACAGTAAGGATGCATTACAGGGCATGCCAGGGACTCCCCGCCCCTGAGTCACTGCAAAGACTGGTAACCCAAATACGGTGATTCTGCTGGAAGTGCTCCAATAGTCTCACCATCTTCCAGGCTAGAAAGAGGGGAGTCATCACTCAACCTTCTTTCTGCTTTAACCTTCTGTCTACTCTCTCCTGAGAACCAAAGATATGAGAAGGTTGAGATAAAGATTCTGGAGTTGGCAGGTCTAGTTAAACTCCCAGCTCTGCACCAAATGTGGATGACTGTTTCTGAGCCACTGTTTCCTCTTCTTAAAATAGGAATTCTAATTATAACTATTCTCAGATTATCGGAAGCAACAGGTAACAAAGGGAAAGCTTCACACAGTGCTTGACAGGACTTAGTAAATAATGAAGGGTGTGGAAGAGTAAGGAAGGTGGGAAGTGGGTACAGGGAGGAAAAGGGTGAGAAGGAAAAGAAAGATAAGAGGAGGAAGACGAGGAAGGTGTGCTGCTGAGTGGCCGTTCAGAACAGTAACCAAGAGCAATGCCTTTGCTGCCCAACAGCCAGGTTCAAATTCCAGCTCGGTCACTTACTAGCTGTGTGACCCTCTCACTGTCTCAGTTTCCCCGCCTCTACGATGCAGGAAGTCACATACTATCTACCACAGAGGATTGTTATGAGGTTTAGATGGGTTATTCTAGGTTTAGATGGGTTATTATGTAGAAAGCACTTACAATGTTGCCTGGCACATAATTAAGTGCTATATATAAATGTTTATTTCTTAGTTCTACTCTGACAGCTACCACCACCACTACCATCCTCAAAGTTGACCACTTCTAGCTTTAGAAATCTCAGGTTCTCCCATTTCTTCCCTACTCCTGCCAGTGCCCCTCAGTGCCAGCCTTCACCAGCCTCAGGCCTGACATGGACAAGCCAACCATTGTGTGGTGCACCAGGAGCAGAGAACGAGGAAATCCTGTTAAAGAGAGAGACAGAATCGTTGAAAGTAGGAGCTTTGCCTGGAAAGGGAAGTACGCTATGTCTTTTAGCCAGCTGAGCTGGTAAAATGGAAAAAGCGTTGACTCCAGAGTTGGACAAATGAGGTTTCAAGTGTCAGCTGCTCAAGGGATTCAACCACGGTGAGTCCTGGCATCCTTTTCTGTAAAATAGGGTCACTGGTATCCATCTTAGGTGGGTGCATGTAGACAAGCTATGGTAACTGTGTGGAGAGTGCCCAGCACTGGGCCTGGCACACTGAAGGCAACCAATAAATAGTCATTCTCCATATTGTTGTTGCTAATATTCAGGGAGATACGTGTATTCCCTTGAGCAGATTCTGGTGGAGTGTAGCCCATGTCCACACTCAAAGGATCATTCAAATCTTTAAACAACTACTGGTCATGTTTTTTGAGAGCCCAATGCTGGTGTTGGGGTTGAGGGTACTTAAATAGTTGAAGGGGGAGTGGTCCCAGCCCAGGCCTGTCCCCTCTGCTTCCTTACCACTGGAAATGTTTGGGATCAATATTTAACCAGTCGTAAGTCTTGGTCCCCAAAGGAAACTAGCCCCATCTTTGGCTTAGACCCACCACCTCGGCTTTTGTGAAAGCAGAGCACAAATGCAAGCAAGCAGCAAGGGCTGTCTACAGCACATGGAGGCAGAGCTTGGAGCGCCCAGGCCTTGGAACAGAAAAAGAGCTTCAGAAAAGTTTCTTTCCCAGGAAACTTTTAAGGCCAGTTCTTTCCAAAACATAAAAACCCTTCAGGCCCCACGCTGCCATTCAGAAGAGTCCCTTGCCCCTTCCATGCCTCAGGTCCACACCTGGTGCCCAAACCCAGCCAATATTTGCAATTTATTTTGAAAGGAGAAAAGAGCCCTTGTTCCAGATGAGAGTCAGCTACTTTCTTTTTGAAGTTAATCATTAAACTGATGTTGAGTCAATTCCAGCACCAGATTGGAGCGGTTCTCTGTTCCCGCAGCACTGAGACAGACCTCTGCAGAGCCAACACTCTTAACCAAGCTGAATGAGTGAGTCACAGAATCCTTGGAGAGGACAGACCTGATGCCACCCTCTCTGTCCCCTTTGGCCCAACAACATCACAAGCTTTCTACATTAAGTTGCACCTAATCACTCTCTAAGAGCTAGTGGTCCCCAACCCAAGAAGCATATTAGAATCACATGGAATGATAAATATTTACCCCAGGCCCCATTCCAGACCAATTAAATCTGAATCGGAACATTTTTAAAGCTCACTGAGGCTAATGTGCATACAGGATTGAGAATGTCTGAGTCACACTTTGGCCCAAAAACCTAAAGAACCAAGGATTGAACCAGAAGTCACCACTGTGGGCTTTAGGACCATGAGCTATAAATTAAACAGACTTGAGTTCTAATTCTTACTCCACTCTTTATGATTTGTAGGACCCTAAGCAAGTCCCTTAAACCATTTCTTCAACTACAGATGGGAACAACATGGTACCTACCTCATAGGATGGGTTTGTGATTTTAAAAAAATGTATATAAAGCATTAAGCACGGTGGACAGCAATACTCAAATGTCAGCTATTGCTGTTTTATACAATTTACTTCTCCCTTGACCAGAGTTAATAAGCATGTACCCTGCTCTTCTATTAATAGATTTCCTTAAGGGCTTAGATCAGTGATTCTGAGAGTCTGGCCATGCCTCAGAATCACCTGTAGAGCTTGTTAAAATGTAGATTCCCATGTCTTACATCAGGACCCCAGTAAATCCTCGACGGGGCAAAAGTATCCGTGTTTTCCAAAACCTCCCTAAGTGACTGTGATGTAGAATCAGGCCTGGGAAGGACCACACTAGAGCATCTTCCTGTGACTGGTATTAAGTCACAGGATAGAACTTTGCTTCCAATTATACCACAGTTTCTATCCCCAATGGTGATGTTGTTTCTCAAGTAAAAAAGTAAAAATGAAACAGAACCTAGTGAGGTCTTAGGGCTACCCATTGCCTATATTTGTCCTAAATGTTTGGACCTCAACTGCAGGGGCAAATGGACCATGAAGCTAATGAATTATAACTCCCATTGTAATTGATGAAAACCACCGTCCTTTAAAATTGTGTCTTCCCCTTACTCAGTATTAGAATGTCTGCAGACATTTTGGGGATTCAGCCAAGTGCTTGAGTTGGGGGATATGTTCAGTTTGGGCTTGGTGGGATATGGGAAGATGAGGAAGGAAGGTTATATTTATAACAGAAATCTTACATGAAGAAAGATGATAGAGGGTCTGAGGGCAATGAGAGGTCAAGTTGGGAATGAATCAGAGGGGCTAACCACTATTAAAGATGGAGACACCAAGGCTCAGAGAGGGGAGTTAACCCTCCCAAGGTCACACAGCAAGCAAATGCTAGAGCCAGGACAACTTCCTGAGCCAGCTGCTCCCACCAAAGTAGCTTTCTCTCACTCCCCTCAGGCCGGTCATTTTGGCCCCTAACCATGAAACTTACCTTGGCTATGATGCGGCACAGGGGAGCCCCCTCCTGGGTCAGGCTGAACAGGTTGCCTGTGGTGGATTCCGTGGTATAGATATTGTCAGAGGCATCAATTTTTCTCACTAGTGCCTAAGAAAAGAGAGCAAAGTTTGATGGTCACTCATCCCCATTTACCCTCAGCCCATCTTTCTTAACAAAATACCCCCTAGAATCTATATTCCTTCCCCATCCTCTGCTCCACTATGGCGGTGATGAGGGTCCAACGTTGGAAAGATGAGTCAGCATGGGGTCTGAGCTCCATTCCAGAAATATGGGATCATTTCAAACCCTTGGGGCATGGATGGCAAATGTGCCCTGTTCCAGTGGATCAGAAAATCAGCTCTCAATATCGATGGTCTCAGCAAGTACTGTTTTATGGTGCTACTGGCAACTAATGAGAGCAGAAACCATCAGTGAAATAAACAAACCACCAAGTTGAAAACCAATGAGTTGCTATGGCTATGACCAAAAAATTTGCTTATTTTGGGTGGCTATTAGCCAATGGGGAATTCCAGCTGGGTAATAAGTTCAGGGGTTGAGTCAAGAGAAGCACTCTACGTGACAGTAGCTTACTGTTCGGGCAGGGGGACATTAACATTGGGTGTCTAGCCAGGCCAAATATAACACTGGAGTCCTGTCAAAGGGTGGGTAAACTCAATGAGGAATGCCACGATGATCAGGGCTGAGGAATCTAAGGCTAGCTAATGGTGAGAGGCCGGGGATTAACACACATTGGACCCAGGAAGGCCCAGAGAAGAAAAGCAAATGGAAATTTTATCAATATGATAACAACATTATTCCTAGAAGAGTTTAGCTTATTTCTGAGAAAAAGCTTTTCACATACCTTGAAACCACTTCATAATCAGCCAATTGCTTTGAAGCATATGATTAATTGACTATACATGATTCCTACCTGCTCAATGCTAGTTTCTAGAGTTTTCCTTGAGAGATGTGGAGACGGAGGTTGAGGAGATTGCTTTTAGGGGCCTCATGCAAGAAAGTAAGACCTTCACAGACAGGTGCTCCGAGCAGCCACTTCCGCAATTTCAGTTGCCATGTTTATTTTGAAATATTAAATAGATTTGTTTTTAATTAGCTCTGAGGTTACGGAAAAGGCACTTAAAGGAAATGAGGAGATCTGAGTTCTAGTCCCAGCTTGCCTTTTTTAACATACTATGTTAATGAGGAAGTGCGTGTATGGTTGAAAGCATGGGCTCTGGAGCCAAATTGCCTGAGTTCAAATTTTGGCTCTGCCACTTTTGTCTTTGTGCCCTAGAGCAAGTAACTTAGCCCTTCTATGTTCAGTTTCCTCATCTGCAAAATAGTGGAAATAACAGTGTCTGTCTTTTATGGTGGTTGTACTGATCTACTAAGGTTGTCTCTCTCTCTCTCTCTCTCTCTCTCTCTCTCTCTCTCTCTCTCTATATATATATATATATATATATATATATGACTTCTAAAGGTACCTGGCACTGAGAAGCAAAATACAATTGTTACCTGTTATTATTTGGTGATTTGGGACAATTGAGATAAACTCCCTGGGCCTCAGTTTCCCCATTTGTAAAATGAGGAAAACTAAGGGGGTTTGAGGCCCAAGGTAAATGGCCCTTTTTTTTTCTTTATTCAAACTCATAGGATTCTTCACACTAAGATTAAGTGTGTATTTAATCAAACTACTTAAATATAAAAATTATTCCTAAGATTTGATAGATGCCTCTTATAAGATATTCAACAAAAGGTAAAATTAATAATCAAGATTTGTCACTACAAATCTCTATAATGAACGTATTTCTTAGAATCCTTCCCCATCGTTACCGTAAGCAGTTACATAAGTGATACTAATGCTCCCATGAAAATGCAGATTTCATATATTGGGGTCCTGTACCTAAATGATAATTACCTAATGTTCCTGATTAGTGCTTGCACTTGAAGCAAATTAGCATTGCATTAAACAATTCAAACCCAGTGTCTCTTGCAATCACCTTCTACTATTAGACAATTTATGTCTAAGAATAATTTCTTTCAATGTCTGTATGCATATATACTGTAATTACGCCCCAGATATGTCTCAGTGAATTAGCTCTCTGACAATGAAAAGTGGTAAGCATCCTTTTCACAGGTATAAATTTGGAAAGATATGAGATCAAAGCCTCCTCTGAAATCGTCAAGGCCCTAAGTATCCTAAGATGTCAGAGCTGCAAGGGCGCATAGAAGTCTTGTCCAACCTTCATCATACAATTAAGGAAACTGAGACACAGAAATCTGACCAAGCTCACACAAGTGGTACCGGGTGGAACTGAACCTTAACCCTGTGAATCCAACTTCCTGTTTTCAAAGGTCAGTGGATTCATCTCCTTCAATGTTGGCAGGACCTCAGCTGGACTAGTGCAGATGAACGTATCAGGGCCAGGAAGCTCTCCAGCCTCATTAGCTTCCACCAGATTAGACAGTGATTGTCCATCCTGGCTTCTATTAGCATGGACAACACTCTGCCCTCTGGTGGCCAGGGCTCCTGCTGCAAGGGATGGAGTTGACTGAGAGCCTCAGCTGCTGCCCCTCTAGATCCAATATTATGTTCTTACCAAGGCCACACCTCCCCTGTGCTACTCCCAAGTGGGACTGAGCACAGTAGGGACACTAGTGCAGGCCCAGGACTGTGGGACAGGGCACTCCCCTAACTGGTGACTTTGACTTGAAAATTCTGTCTCTTTCTATACATTTCTTCCACCTTTCCTTTCTCAGTTAGCAGACCTGCTCCTGCTCCTCCTTGTTTTCTTTCGCAGGCATTTCTTATGGAATTTGATCTTGGTGGCAGCTTCAAACTAAGTCTCTAAAATCAATGTTTTTTTTCCAGGAAATCAATGAGGAATTGGAGAAGTTTCGAAAATGTGCTTCAACTCTATATCATAAGAAGAGTGTTGATAAGATGGAAACAAAATAAAGGAAAATAGACTGATTAGGTTGAATGACAGATATATTTTCTTAAAGATAGGCCATGCAGATACAAAACACAAAAATGAGATATGGAAAACCAGGAGAAAGGGATAAGAGAGGGTTAAGGAGATACATGCAATTTAACTGCTCTAAATAAGGTATTAGAAAAGGAGGATAGATTTTTAATTATTTCTCAATCAGAATGAATGACTGCAACCCAGTGAAATTTATCAAGAGAGGTAAACTCTCAAATTGCAGCCTGGAATTAGTTCCTCAGGGGGAGCCAGGAAAATATGGTAAAGCTTCTTCCTAAAGCTTCGGATAGAGAATCCATAGTTAGACATAGTCAGGGCAGCCCAGCTATGCAACAGGATTACGTAAATGTGGGTGGGCAGAGGTGACAGGGTGTGGTAGATTAAAGATGGTCACAAATTATTTGCTATTCCTCTCATAGAGAGGTGGGTTCTAATTTCCCTCCTTTTGAACCTGGGCTGTCGGATTGTCTCAGTGATCAATAGAAGCCTGCACTTAACAGAAGTGATGTTTTAAGATTAGGAAGAAACCTGGAAGCTGCCACTCAGGCCCCTTTGGAACATTCTTTTCAGAGTCCTGAACTACCATGTAGGAAGTTTGATAATTCTGAGACTACCATGCTGTAGAAGCCATGTGTAGATTCCCTGGTCAATGCTCAGCTGAGACCAGCTTTCCAGTCATCGCCTCCAAGGCCTCATACATATAATGAAGCTTTCTAAGACTCTCCAAACCATCTGCCAGCCGAATACCACCAAGTCACCTCTGTTGATGTCACGTGCAACAGAAGAATCACTACGCCAAGCCCTTCCCAAATTCTGGATCCTTAAGATTATGATATATAATAAAAATAATTGTTGCTAGGGTTGTTTGTTATGCATTGAGTTCTGAAACACAGGAAAAGACTACAGAAATCAGCAAGAAATATACAAAGGGTTACTAGATAAATTTCCAGGTGAAATGTTTTGAAATTGTGTATATAGCATTGCCCATGTCCTAAGAGAGCATATTAGAGAAATGAATGAATTAGGACGCTAAGAAAAGGCACAGAAAGATTGGGCATACTCGAGAGGATGTAGATGAAAGGATATCTAACTCCAGGCATGGGTTAGCTATTTGGTGTGATGGGAGAATATCTCCTGGGCAGGAATATATCCAATTTAGAAAGGCAAATGCGGATGAGATCTCTTAGAACTAGACTCTGGGGCAGGCCCAGACCTTAAGTGATTTCATTTCTCTCAATAAGGCAAATCCCCAAATCTAGAAGAATTTTTTGCAGAAACCAAAGAATGTGCCAGGAAAGAAAGAGAAGTCAAAGTGGGAAAGACGATCAGATCCAGCAACTAGTGTTTGTTCTATAAGTTAGCGAAGAAAAGAAACCCACATGAGATGCAGGGTAAACTGTTACAAATTCACTGGCGTCTCCCTGAAAGGAATAGGGGAAAGAGGGTGCTGGTGGCAGAGTTCATTGCTGCGAAACAATGATTTAGCAGAAAGAAATGCTACTCAAGGTTAAAATATTCAAAAGATAAGGAAACACAGTGTTCTAAGAAGCACATGACAAAGGGACCTGTCCTCGCTTAGCCCATAAGGGGTCAGACTTCAGGAGTATTACAAGGAAAACCTCCCTACAAGACTCGGGTCTCAAGGCCTAAGAAATTCTCTAGCAAGGGGAAAAAGACAATAGCCATCATGACCTGAAACTAGAGTGCCTGTGTATTCTATTTCAATTTCTTTTTTCTCATTCAGTCCTAAAAGAATTTTTTAAAATATATGACCCCTTGTGCATTTTTAATTTGACAGGTAAAATTTTTCATCAGAAGATTAAGAAACAAAGTTGGAAAAGATGTAATGTCCAGCACATTGTAAATATTGACATAAAATATAACCAGTGCATCACTCTTTCAGATGTATTCAATGAAGTCTAAATACCAAAACAACTTGATGTCATCATCAGCCATTTAAAAATACTTAAATAGTCTCCTTAACACTGGAACACTTCCCATCTTTTCTTTCCATCCTTACCTTTATATTCCCATTCCACTTACATTTATATTCCCATTCCCATTCTCCCTCAGAATTTTATCCTAATGCAACACTTTGAAGTTTGAAAGTGTTTTATCGAC